AAGGAAGGAAGGAAGGAAGGAAGGAAGGAAGGAAGGAAGGAAGGAAGGAAGGAAGGAAGGAAGGAAGGAAGGAAGCTCGCTTTACTTTCCCTCACATACATGTTAATTTTCATGGAACAGCATTGCACTACCTTCTTTAGCTCATGGCCCCTCATCACTTGCTGTGCAGAAGTCTCAATCTCTGAATAGCAAGTAGCAGCCTACGGACTGCTAGATTGGTACCAGGTACTAAGTCAAGTGGTTTTTGCCCATTATCTCTAGTAATTATCTCAATGATCCCCAGTCATTTGTTGGCTTTTGATTCCCCTCTCATAGATGAAAATGTAAGGACCACTAAGCTTATGAAACATGCTCCACCAACCCTGTTAGTGCAGGTGTGGGTGAGCCAGTCCCGAAGTTGTGAGCATGGGAGAGCTCTCCCCATTTCTCATCTATCTTGAGGTGGCATGGGCAGGGGGATGATATACTCCTTCCTGCCCATCAATGCCTGAGGCAGGTGGGAGAGCTGTCCCTGTGGTGATAAGAGTGGGAGAGCCAACTCTGTTAGTGCAGGTGTGGGTGAGCCAACCCTGAAGTTATAAGCATGGGAGAGTCATCCCCATTTCACATCTGGTGGACCAACTCTACAGCTGCCTAGGCCCAGACCCAAGGTTATGACTTGGCCCGCCCAGTCATCTACCCTATCTATGATCTGTTGGAGCACATGAATGGACCTGACCTGAAAACCCAAACCTGCAGGACTTCTACAACACAGGGCAAAAACAGGGTATCCAGAAGGAGTCCTAGCTGGGGCCCAGCCTCAATAGTGTAGTAGAAACCAGAGACCTTGAACCAGACCAATGACTCTTTGCAATGAACACTTGTAATGACATATGGACAAAGGGGTTTATAGCATGACTCATTGCGTCACACTGCAGCTTCCATGATGAGATTTTTAATTTGTTCCTTTTTTATTATATTTTTTACATCATTCACAAATACATAGCCAGCATTCTACACAGGCAGATTGATTCAAGACATTAAACAATTCATATCTACACCGTATCTACACCAAAGTCACTACCCATGCTGGAGGAAACCTTGGAGTCAGGAATATTGGTGGAGTGAGACATTCATAGTCCCACCATGAGCTAGGCCTTCTCTACTGTATAGGCCCCTCTTGTCTTATTACCACATGGCCATTATCTCCTACCCTTACCTTCCCCTCAGACGTCAAGTGAGTCTTGCCGTAGTCTGCTCTGTGTGCCTTTAACCACAGAAATGAGTTTTCTTACAGTTCTGAGAGCTAGGCAGTTTAAGAAAGGTTCTAGAAGTGCTTGTTTTCTGAAGACGTCATGTGTAGATTGCAGGGTTGTCTTCATATGCCCTCACTTGGTCTTTCTTGTGAACATGCTTGTAGGGAGAGTTTGCAAATCCTCCAGGGTCTCTTCATTTTACTTATTATTTTAATTAAATATAATTACATCATTCCTCCCTTTCTCCTCCTCCTTTCCCCTCCCATTCCCCCCACTCTCACCCAAATTCATGCCCTCATCTTCTTGAAGCGTTGTTATTACATAGCCACATCCATATAAATGAATAAATACATGAAAGCAGCCTTTGGAGTCCATTTGGTGTTGCCTGCATGTATATGTTCCTAGGGCTGACTGCTTTGTAGTGGATAACTAATCTGGGTATCCACTCTCTCAGCACTTCTTAATTGCTCGTAGCTCTTCATTTAAGTGTGGGGTTCCATGAGATTTCCCCCATATATGTTAAGATGTCAACTGTTGTTAGAATTATTCACAACTTGTTAGGTAGCCGTCTGGTTGATATTTCATGACCGTAGCTCACCTGTTTATAACTAGAAGGTGCAATCTTACAGTGTTCTGGATCCTCTGGCTCTTAAAATCTTTCTGTTCCATTTTTCATGCTCTCTGAGCTTTAGGTGCAGGCATTGCACATGTATCAATGGGAGCTAGGAGTCTTACAGTCAATTGTTCTCTGCATTTGAGTAATTCTGGCTTCCTGTAATGGTCTTCTGCTGGAAAAAGGCACTTCTTTCATGGGGGTGATGTAGGGTGTCTCTCCTTAAAGGACAGTAATCCTAAGTAATTAGGGCCCTGTCTCCATGACCTCATTGGACATTAATAACTTCCTTGAAAGGTTCAGTTCTGAATACAGCTGGTCTAGCAATTCAGGCTTGAACTTTTGTATCTAGAGGATATATTTGGTTCTCACTCATTTCTCCCAGCTGACATTCATGACACTTTTGACTCCTGGGCACTATGGAGAAGTGGCTAAGCAAAAGACAAGGAGAGCTTGGATGCTTTATTTTCAGATGTTTCTTCCAGGAACAAGCTGTGAAACCTTATGCAAGATGCTAATATTCCTTTGTACCAGCTTCCCTATTTGTGATGTTAAGAATTGTGTCTAGCTCATAGGCATGTGAAAATTCAATGGAAAGTAAGTAAGTGTTCCACACAGTGCCTGGCATGGATCTATCAACCAAGAACACTTCATCTCTCTTTCCATCAGATTTTTAATTGCATGTATTACTGTATATTTCATTCTCCTTGTGCCGCCCAGCACAAGGTCCTCAATTCATTAAGAATGAAATAAACATTTAGTCAATGATCTCAAACTAGAGTTAATCAATGACTGAAACAATCAAAACCATATAACTTTAGAAGAAAAAAAGGGCTTGCCTTTTCAGCATTTTGCTTTGGCTTTTGATGGTGTTTTAAGACCTCAATTTTAATATAATAGAGTAGATACAACAGTGTTTATTACTTGCATTCACTGTTTCCTCTTTGCAGCCAAGACTCATTTCTACTTTTATTTATGGTTGTATTCATTTGCTTTCATGCCTCATTCTTGCTCTTTGAAATCTTTCCCCTTCATAGAAAACCATTTGAATGTGGGTGATATGATGCCTTCTTTGGGTTTTGATGTTGTTGATGTTATCATTTTTATTTTTTGAGATAAGGTCTCACTATGTAGCCCAAGCTATATTGCAGCTTACTATGTAGACTAGGCTGGCCACAGACTCACAGAGACCCACCTAATTCTGCCTCCCCAGTGTTGGATTAAAGGTATAGACCACTACATCTGGCACCCTTTGTGTTTTTGTTATAAAAGATCAAGTCTCGTATTGCATATTTTATAATGTTCATAAATGCCAGTGTATCATTTATATCAATCTTTCTTATTCTGCTTTTTCTCTCTACTTTTGTTTTTTTTAATTCTTTGTTGTTGTTGTTTTGAACAAGAAACAGTAGTGTTGTCTATTAGTATTTGTGTTCCTCTTGAAAGTTACATGGATTTACATTTTTCTGATATTGTGTTTCTGATATTGTTAAAGTTCACTTTTAATATATGTACCCATACATTTACAGTTCCTCCAGGTGTCATTGGACCTACCCATGAACATCTCTCTGTGGTGGTGAACCATTTCATCTCTTTGACCTGTGAGGTGTCTGGTTTTCCTGCTCCTGACCTCAGCTGGCTCAAGAATGAACAACCTATCAAGCCAAATACAAATGTTCTCATTGTACCCGGTAAGGAACTTACAACTCTCATAAGGTGGGCCATGCATGTCATTTTCTGCATTTTAAAGCAAAGACCATTTCAACTTAGTCTCTTTCCAAAGTCGTACCTCACTCCCTTTGTTTGTTCATAGTGCCCAACTATAGCCGTTAGAGTACAGACTATTGTTGTTCAGCTTTCTATGGCCCCATGTTTGGAATACAAAAATGTTGTTAGTTGTTTTTGCTATTTGGGGGCGGGGCTGCCACCCAGCTCCCAAATAAATCACATGTGGAATCTTATTCTTAATAATAAATGCCCAACCTTAGCTTGGCGTGTTTCTTGCCAGCTTTTCTTAACTTAAATTGGCCCGTTCATCTTTGGTCTTGGGGCTTTTATTCTTTTTCTATTCCTGTATATCTTTAATTTCCTTCTTACTCTGTGTCTGGCTGTGTAGCTGGGTGGCTGGCCCCTGAAGTCCTCCTCCTTCCTCTCTCATTCCTTGATCTTTCTTCTTTTCTTTCTAGATTTCTCCTTCTATTTGTTCTCTCTGCCTGCAAGCCTCACCTATCCTTTCTCCTGACTCACTATTGGCTGTTCAGCTCTTTATTAGACCATCGGGTGTTTTAGATAGGCCAAGTAACAGCTTCACACAGTTAAACAAATGCAACATAAAATGTAATTTGCATCATTAAGCAAATGTTTCACAGCATAAACAAATGTAACACATCTTAAAATAATGTTCTACAACAATAGACTTTTATGACTTCCATGGAAATATACAGTAAGGGGGTCTTTTTCAACAAATTATGACATTAAGCATCATGAAAGTGTGGCGATCCTGAGTGTAAATGGTAAATAGCCACTGTACAAACCTACTAGTTGTTTCCAGTCAGTCCCAGTCTTCTTGGCTATAGATGATAGGTAGTTAAATACATAGGTAGATGATACAGATAGGATAGAGAATGAGGGCCAGTGAGATGGCTTGAGGTTAAAGGCGCTTGCTGTCAAGACTGACTACCTGATTGCAGTCTCTGGGACCCACATGGTGGCAAAAGAGAACTGTTCCCACAAGCTGCCCTCTGACTTCTGCATACTGTAGCATACCTCCTCCAGAGAGAAATTTGTAAATGAAGAAATAACAGTTAAAAAGAAGAGACAGTGAGCAATATGTACTTGAATGGACAGATGGAATTCAGTTGTCAAGCTATAGCTTTATGCCCCATATGCATCTCAAGACAGCTATGAGTACAGCCCAACATTTGCAGATGACAACATCCTGCAGCAATGTAAAAAGCTGGACTCACCTGAGATAGACAGATGACTACAGATTGGCAGACTGTCACCTCTGCACTGTGGGGAATTTAAACTCAGAAAGCATGTGCTCAATTCCCCGGACCCACAAGGCAAATGGGGAGAACCAGCTCCCACAAGTTGTCCTCTGACATCCACACATGCACTGTGGCAGCTGCGTACATGTGTACACACACACACACACACACACACACACACACACACACACACACACACACACAAATGCATTAACAACATAACTGAAAACAAACTCTGTATCTGTCTTTACATTATATTTCCCCAGGTGGTCGAACTCTACAGATTATTCGGGCCAAGGTATCTGATGGTGGTGAATACACCTGCATCGCTATTAACCAAGCTGGAGAAAGCAAGAAGAAAGTCTCCCTGACTGTCCATGGTGTGTGTTTACTCTCTTCATCATACAGTTTCATTTCATTTAATATTTTCTAGCTAAGCAGCGCAATGAAAAAAAACATTTCAATATTCTGTTCTTGTTTCCCACCTCAGTGCCCCCAAGCATTAAGGATCATGGCAGCGAGTCTCTTTCTGTAGTTAATGTGAGAGAGGGGACCTCAGTGTCATTGGAATGCGAGTCAAATGCTGTCCCTCCCCCAGTCATCACCTGGTCTAAGAATGGGCGGACGATAACAGATTCTACCCACGTGGAGATTTTAACTGGTGGACAGATGCTGCACATCAAGAGAGCCGAGGTGCATCTTTGGTCCTTGTCTGAGTATGGTGCCTCCGTGGTGGGGTTGTGGAAAAGCTAACTGGAAGAGGCCTACTCCCCTTACTACAGTGAACAGTGCCGTTCATGGAAAAATGCATGGTCCGTGCCATTGAACTTATTTTCATTAAAAAAAAAAAAAACAACAACAAAGAAACAGGATTTCTGAAGGCAATTAGAAGTGGGGCAGTAGAGCATAAAGATGACTGATGACGTAATCTTCTCCTGAACCTTGTGATTGGTCATCTATCACGTAATGGAGCACATACAATAGTATCTTTTTCTTTTAGGTGTCTGACACAGGCCAGTATGTATGTAGAGCTATAAATGTAGCAGGACGAGATGATAAAAATTTCCACCTCAATGTATATGGTGAGCATCTGCCTCTAATACAACTCTCTTTCCCCTAGACATGCAAACGAAAGACCATGTCTTGAATTAACTTAATGACGGCGCGTAATCTCCTTCTGTCTTTTTACAGTGCCTCCCACCATTGAAGGGCCTGAAAGAGAAGTCCTTGTGGAGACAGTCAGCAATCCAGTGACATTGAAATGCGATGCCACTGGGATCCCCCCTCCCACCATAACGTGGTTGAAGAACCACAAGCCTATAGGTAACACACTTGAACATTTTTGTGGTTGCCTTGTTGGGCACTTAATTTACTACGTTTGTAAATTAGCAGATTTTCAGTCTTGTGCTCATGGTTGTGATTAGTTCAAGAAAGCCTAATGTTCTGAAATATAAATTTGTCAACTGGACTCCTGACTAAACATTTGCTTTGTTGAGGTACTGCACATGGAAGCTAGAGCACTGTGCTTTCAAGGCAAGGCCTGTACCGCTACAGTTTACCCCAGCATTGCCAAGAGTTTTGTCTTCTGTTTTGAGGCAGGAGCTGGCTAAGTGTCCCAGGCTGGCCCTTGAACTTTCAATACTCTTGACTCTGCCTCCCAACTAGCTGGGACTGTAGACTTGAATGTCCCACTATAAAGGAATACTTTTTTAAAATTTTCATGTTTCAAAAAAAATCTCCTTAAAAATACAAAGGGAAAACTTTTAAGAATTGTATATTTGTTGTGTGAAGAGAAGGGCTTTAAATGCTATTTCTTTCTCTTTTTTCCCTCTTTCTTTCTATTTGTAGAAAATTCCGACCCCCTTGAGGTTCACATTTTGTCTGGGGGAACCAAACTGCAAATTGCCAGACCTCAGCATTCTGACGGGGGAAACTACACCTGTGTTGCATCCAATATGGAGGGAAAGGCTCAGAAACACTATATCCTTTCTCTGCAGGGTATGTTAAGTGCACTGCGGTCTGCCTTCTGTTCTTTGTTGCACTCCATCTAGACGACAAAATGCTCTGTATTAAAAGAGGCTGTTGATCCTCGACTCAGATATCTATAGGTCACTGAAAACACTGACACCTTTTTGTGTTGTATTTACCAGTGGATTCTGTTTCCATGGAAAAGCACACAAATGTGTGGGGGAAAACAGAAAAGAAATTAGGATATCTATCTCTATTTGTTTTGTTTTTAATGAAAGTAAATATGACTTTTTTGAAGTCAGTATTCATGACTCTGATATAGTCTATGGAACTGGAATTCTCTATTTGGTATAATTTATTTTCACACGAAGACTATAAATCTGTTCTTTTTATAGATATGTAAGATTCAATTCATGAGATTGTGCTATATTTTAATCATAAGTGTGAGAATAGATAAATTTCAAATAATCATGAGTCTTGCACAATTTTGTACTGAGAATAAGAGATATTAATTCACCCAGTAAATATTTATTCATCATTGCTTTAAATTATGGCATAGTGTCAAGGACTGTAGGGAGAACTTGTTGCTTTTTTATTTTCAGTGATCCTCTCAGTGATACATTTCACTCAAAGTGACATGGAAGTCTTGCTTCCTGACTTCATTACCGTAGCTGAAGAATGTCTAATGAATTATAACTTTGATCTTAATCTAATATGTCTGCTGTTGCTGTGTTAAAGCTAGCTCCCTAGAAATATAGGCAAAAGTTTGATTAATGATCTCTTCAATAACCTTTGAGACTTCAGAGACAGAAAGGGGAAAGTAGCTATTCAGTGATGCCTACGTGGGTAAAGGCATTGGCCATCAAGTCTGAGCACCTGAGTTCGAGTCCATGGAACCACACAGTAGAAAGAGGAAAACAACTCCCACAAGATGTTCTCTGACATCCTCACCTTCACCATGGTACACATATATTCACATACATATAAACACATACGCAAAATAAATAAAATGTGATTTAAAACTAAAAAAAAATAAATAAATTGCATACTTACTTACACATATACCTCAATAATAAATGATAGAAATGATAAAGTATGAGGTGTTTTGGTCTGAGCAAACATTTCCTAAAATTCTTTTGTGATATATTTGCATAATGTCTTAAAACTAGGGATAATGCAAAACACGGGCCTTAATTAGGACAAGTCTCATTGGTACATCTAGTGACAATTTCTTTAGTATCCTAACTTCTGCCAACTTTTTGCTATTATCCCTGTTTGACTAACATGGCATGTAGAAGGACGACACAGTGCTGTTAGTAAATATTGAATAATTAACTCTCCCAACAAAAAGGTCCTGATATGTAGCCATAGTGTGTCAATTTCCATGTGTGTGAAAGCCCAGCTTGACCTATTCCCAGCTGTCATAATGACAGTGACTGTGGGGTAGGGAAGTCATGCCCAATAGGTTCCTGTGATCAAATATGAGCTGCTCCCGGCACATGTCTGTAACTCTGTGCAACAGAAACTCAAATGTGTTCCGTTCTGACCTCTAAGATATTGTACTTACAGTGTATAGTTGTTTAGCCTAAATGTATGTCTGCACCACATGTATGCCTGGTGCTCAGAGCCCAGAAGACATCAGGTCTGCTGGAACTGGAGTTATATAAATGGTTGTGAGCAGCCATGTGGGTACTAGGAGTCAAACCTGGCTTTCTGATCATTGTTAATATTTTTAATACACACCAAGGATGACTAGATAAAAATAACAGAAACTATTAGAGATTGAAAAGCATAATATGTCCATCAATTTTTCAGAATAAATAATAACTAGCAATAGACAAGTAATTAATATACAAGCTTCCCTGATACCTTTACACCAAAATGTTTTAAAAGTTGATTGTCCTGAACCGTGTACATTACAAACAACCCATTTGAGACTTAATCTGAGGAGGATTCCATCTATGTCTAGTCATAGGAACTGGTGACAGATTACCCACAAGATCAATCTGTGACCAGTTCCTATGACTAAACAGTTTCAGGAATATCAGGAACACTGAAGTAATTTGGTACCTTTGTTCTTCTCATTTAAAAATAACTCATAAAGGTAACAATTGGCCAGTCCTAATTGAGGAAGAATTCTGAATTAGAAATGACATGTTCTAGGACAGTGAGGTAGATGAACAGATAAAGGTGCCTGCCACCAAACCTAATGACCGGAGTTCAGTCTCTGGGACCCACATAGTATAAGGAGATACTCAGCTGCCACGAGTTTCCTCTGTGTATATGAACACACCAGAGGGCAACTTATACCCAGCTACACACACACACACACACACACACACACACACACACACACACACACACAAATAAGTGTTACAACAACAAAAAATAAATGGTATGCTCTATTATTCTGTCACATTCGTTAGCATTTATATCCTTATACTTTACTAATAAAAATCTTATTTCTCTAAAGTTCCCCCAAGCATTGCTGGTGCTGAAATTCCAAGTGAAGTCAGTGTCCTTCTCGGGGAAAATGTTGAGCTGGTCTGCAATGCAGATGGCATTCCCACCCCACATCTTCAGTGGCTTAGAGATGGAAAACCCATAGTGAATGGTGAAACAGAAAGAGTCAGGTATGTTCAAGACAAATCCCTGTGTTATAAATTTATACAGTCTATCACAGTGCCCTATGCTTCAGATTTCATACAAGTAATACTTATTTCTGTCCTAGTTTGCTTTCTATTAATATAATAAACACCATGACCAAAAATAACTTTGGGAGGGAAGAGTTTCTTTCATTTTACAGTTTATAGTTCATCATGAAATGAAGTCTAGTCAGGAAGTCAAAACCAGAAACTGGGAGCAGGCACTAAAACAAAGACCATGGAGGAGCACTGCTTACCAGCTTGTTCCTCATGGCTTGCTCAATCTACTTTCTTATACCACCCAAGAGTGCCTACCCAAAGACAGTACTGCCCACAATGAACCGGACCCTCACCCATCAATCATTAATCAAGGAAATGCCACCACAGAAATGTCCACAGTAAAATCTGATGGACTTCCCAGGTATGCCTAGGCTTGGGTAAAGCTGACAAAAAACAACAAGCACAACTTCTGTGTCATTAGACCTCAGCTATCATTTTATTTACAAAGAGAAAAGAACATTTTTTTAGTGTTGAATATAGAAATTCTCTTTAGATAACACTCTAAAGTTTATGTGTGTATGTCAGTGTATGGGGGTAGGGGGAAGGGGCATAGAAGGATCCTTATTCATCAGTTCTGTATTTTAAAATCTCAAACACCCATGCATCAAAATATTATATGCTGTGGAATGACCCTCTTGTACACTGTAAAGATTTATCACTCAAATTGGTTTAATAAAATGCTGATTGGCCAGTAGACAGGCAGGAAGTATAGATGGGGCAACCAAACTAAGGATGATGGGAAGAAGGGCAGAGTTAGGAGTCACCAGCCAGATGCAGAGAGAGCAGGAGATGAATGTATCATACTAATAAAGGTACCTCCATGTGGCAGAGTGTAAATAAGAAATATGGGTAAAATGTAAGAGCTAATTAGTAACAAGCCTGAGCTATCAGCCAAGCATTTATAATTCAGATTCAGCCTCTGAGTCAGTTATTTGGGACCAGGAAGTCGAGACAGGAAATGTCCATCTGCAGTTATACAACTGTCATTGAATATATTCCTCCAGTTTTAGAATGTCCATAACAAATCCATGTCATAAAATAATCCTTTCCTATTAAAGTCAAGCCAATAGCATCCCACAAAAGAGTCAATATTCCTAGCTGTGGGTTTTTTTTTATCTTAAAGTTATCAAACTGCATGCGTGCAGGGTTGATTTGATAGTTATGGGAAAAGACATAATAGCATTATATTGCAGTTCATTTTTATAGTGGTTTGTTCACATCTCATTTTTAGCTTATCCTTATTTCCCTCTCTACAAAGAGGTGAATAGCAATGCAATAGGAGCTTCATGCAACTTGAACAAATTTCTTCAGATGAACAATCTAGAATCTCGTAAAGATATTTTAACACAAGCATGTTTACACACATATACCAGAATAATATATGCATAGGTAGGCATAATATTGTACTAATGAACTATTAAATTTATAATTTTAACCAGTATTTTAATAGTTTGAGTATATTTTCTAGTCAGTGAATTGAATTCATTTAACTTAAAAAATAAGTGTCATTTCCTTTGTATTCATTTTGTATTAAAATTTAGGTATTCCCTTTACAAGATCGGGTAAGCTGCCAGATAATATTTTCAGAAATACTGGGCATTTTATTTCTGTTATGTGAACATATATGAATAATTAACAAGTGTTTAGTTATTTTCATTAAGAGGATATTGGCCATCTTTCAGATTTGATGGAACCTAAGGTCCTGTGTTTGTACCTGGGAAGTTGGAACTCTAGATTCCTAAAGCTGTTTCTTGCTATTGTCACTCAGCTGCTGACTTCATCACTGTCTCATGGTGCTATAGATGGCTAGGGAAAACCATTTACCAAGGTCACCTTGCCTAAGTCACCTTAATAGCTTTGACTGTGGCAACTTGCAATTTTAATTTGTAATATATTTAAATTCATGGAACTTTATATTTCACATTTTAAGAAAAGTACCATATTCAGATAATGTATTTTCAATATCTATCTTAAATGTGGTATTTAGTAGTATACTGTAGTAGAAATTCATAATCAGAGGTGCTGATGAAATCACCGTTTCTAGAACAGTTGTAGATAATATTTTTAAAAAGCATAGGAAGTTGTGTTTGGTAATTAATAGTATGTGGATAAAATGAATAGTGTAATAATCTTAACTTAGATGTACTTTGTTGCCTAATTTCGTATTTATCAGTTACTTTTATATAAGTCAAAAGAAACACTTAAGCCAGTTGGGAAAAAATTTCAAAATGCATCTATGTATGTACAAAGTCATCATCATTTAAGTAAACTATACTATTTTTTCTTTTTCATTAAGGTATAATTAAGGTATTTAATTTTTATTCATAATCTCTTCAGATCATTGTGATCTTCAGTCTTCATATCAGAATTTTCAAATTCTCATTTGACTTGATAGTTCATATCAGCCACTAAGAATATAGCACTCTGTTGCTGAGAGAAAGGCACCTCTGCCTGTCACATTCCTGCTTGTCGCGTTCCTCACCTGACTTTGTTACCTTTTTCTCAGAAGGAGGTGATGGATATGAAAATGGTTTCCATATAATCTTCATTTCCTGAAATCACCCTCAGTTTCTGTGGCTCTGACTTTTCTATGTTTCCATGTATTTGTGAACTAGGGTTGAATTGTTCCATTCAATATGAAGGTGTTATGTTATGACGGTATATATTTTTAGAGGACACATCAGAGTCGAATGAGTTTTCCAGATCCTATCCCTCCATTAACATCTCAGCACCTCTGTCACGACTTTTTTTCACAGTGTCACTGCAGATGGCAGCACATTAAACATTTACAGAACTCTCACATCTGACATGGGGAAGTATACCTGTGTTGCTACTAATCCCGCTGGAGAAGAAGACCGAATATTTAACTTGAATGTCTACGGTAAATATGAAATGCCACCAAAAGTTTTGACTTTGCTACCTTAAGATTCCATTAATGGGCCACAGGTGACTGGAACATTTCTCTGAAATCTAATATCAGTGATATTTCCTTTCGGGCTACAAAGCAGAAGCAGGACCAGTTACAGTGCCAATGATTTGAACTCACATGTCTTCTCTCTCACTTACTATGTGCATCGCATAGTTCCACCTAAAATCAGAGGTAATAAAGAAGAGGCAGAGAAACTGATGGCTCTGGTGGACACGTCAGTAAATATTGAATGCAAAGCCACGGGGACACCTCCACCGCAGATCAACTGGCTGAAGAATGGCCTTCCTCTGCCCCTCTCCTCCCACATCCGCTTGCTGTCAGCTGGGCAGGTTGTCAGGTTAGACTGCATTGCGTGTTTCCTCAACACTTATGGTAACAGTCATTGTCAAGTCTTCCTTCACCTTTCCAGCATTTCAGAGATGCTTTTCGCTATGCTTTGACTCCTATCGTACCAACCATTCAGCGTGTGTTTAGAAGAGGGAGGATAAGGAATGGAGAATCAAAATGGCTTTGTATTCTTATTTAAGTGCTCGTGTTTTAGTACATGTGTGCACAGTGGGTCTTGAGCAAGGAACTGTTACCAAGTTTATGTTTTTAAGAGCTATATCTTAAGCACAGTGGTACATGGTAAGATAGGTGAATGTTGACAATGTTCATATGATTTTCATGCTATTGTTTTTCTCTTTTAATGTGTTTGAAAAATATTCACGCTGCCGGTTGTGTTGTATCCTTAGTAGCTTGCCATGACTGCATGGTCACTTTTATACAAACAGTTGCAGTTTGATGATGATGGTCACATGCTTTATATCTAAAAATTTTCAATATAAATTTCATTCAGTATTCTGATTATAAGTCCTAACCATTTGTGTTTGTTGAATGGGATTGATTATGAAATGCTGGGTCCTGTTTTGCAGGATCGTGAGAGCTCAGGTGTCTGACGTCGCTGTGTATACTTGTGTGGCCTCCAATAGAGCTGGTGTAGATAGTAAACACTACAGCCTTCAAGTCTTTGGTATGTTACAGAAATGATCCTACTACTTTCCTGCAAGTTCAGGAGCGTTAAGCAACATGCTTTAGGAACTTTCCTCACGGACTTATAAATTCAACTTTCCTCTGTCAAAAATCATTGGTGAAAAATATCTCACTATTATGGAAGAATATGTTTTCTCCCCTCAAAGAGTCCACACTTACTGGTCCATACTGTCTGTCAAAATTCTCTTCTAATACAGAATTAAGGTGTTTTTTTTTTTTCAGATGTAAGGGTTTTGACAGTGTCACACACTTTCATAATGCATACCATTCTCATACCCCATCCTCTGTACCCCTATCACCCACCTACTACTGTCTCTTCCACATCTCTTCTTCATGTTCCTGTCTGATGCTTTGCTTTGTGACCCACTAACTCAGCCAAAGCTCTCTGTGCAGTCATGAGTGTGAAGCTATCCGTTGGAACCTGGTGGACTTAGGCAGAGGGTACCCAACTGAAGATAATGATTACTGCTCTTCTAGAATCTATCAATAGCCTATGTACTGGTAACAGATAAGCCCCTCCTCCTTCCTTGACTGATTGTTGACAGGACCGGACTGATTGTTGACTGGGCCAGTCTTGTGTGGGTCCAGGGTAGCCAACTTCAGTTCTAAGTCCATGATTGAAATGGTTGCACTGAGTCTAGAAGATCATATCTTCATCCCTTCATCTTTACCTCATCTTCTAACTCTTCCATGTGCCCCTCCTATATCAGTGTGTTTCTCTGTTGCTGTCAAGAAACACAATCCAAAAGCAACTTGGAGGCAGAAACTGAAGCAGAACCACAAAGAAATGCTACTTCTTGGCTTGTTCTCCGTGGTGTGCTCAGCTTGCTTCCATATACAATCAGGGCCACCTGCCTAGGGTTCACACTGACCACAGTGGGCTGGACTGTCCTACAGCAATCATTAATCAAGGAAGTGTCCCACAGACATGCCCACAGGCCAATCTAGTGGAGGCAATTCCTCAATTGAGGTTCCCTCTTCCCAAGGGACTATTTTATGTTGACAAACTAACCAGAATAAGGCCTCTTCTTGTGCAGTGTTCCGGATCTTAAAATGACTTGTTTAGGGCTGAACCCTAGCTTATTCTCAGCAGCTTGGGCAACGATGAGTCTCTGAATTCATCACTTTTCACTCCAGGGTGAGGTTTCTCTGATTTGGGCTGATCTTGAGTTTTGTCTATGGCGTAGTGATAGATGTTTAAAAGGCAGTTTGATGTAATTTAATTAAACGGCAGTAGTGAGTTCTCCACCTGAGCTTACAACCCCCTCACTCAATGGTTTGTGACCCAGCATACAATACCAGACATGAGTCCCTGCTTATGTGTAACCCAAGTGGTTGGTGTACCCTACAGAGTTTGTGCCACTCTTGCATAGGTGGCATCTTGCCCAGCAAGTTGGTTTGTTTTTTTTTTTTTTTTTTCAGTTTGGAGGATGGATTCACAGCTAAGTAAAACCACTGCTGCCTTTTCTCCCCCAGCAGCCTGCCTTGTACCTTCTAGCACCCTGAAAGCTAACCAGTAAGGAGGACACTTGCATCTCCTCTCTAGCTTGCTTTTTCTGTGTTGCCTGTAGCAATATGGTCTAATACTCTAGTTCTGGTGGGCCAGCAAAAGGGCTGACAAGAGCCTAATTGTTAGGGAGGCCTTGGAGCCTGCCTGGCCAATTACTGTGGTGGCATCTCACTTCTGGGACTGCAAATTCTCTTTAGTACCTGCTGTTTCTAGGAGCATTGTTATTTATACATGCAGGGTAACTCCATTCAATCTGTCTTCCATGTTTTTTTTTTAAATTTAGATTATAGGAGAGTGGCTTTCTATGTGACTTAATTCATATACCCTTCATTTTGGTTAATCTACCTCATCCTTCACTCTCATCTCACCATCCCCCAGCTCCCTTCCTGCCCAAGTCATTCCATCCTCAGTATTCTCCCTCTGCTCTATCCCTCCCTCTTCAGTGCATCCCCTAAGCCACCGGCTTTGTATCCTGGACTCATGTGTACTCCATGTCAAACAAACACAACTAATGTTTTAAAGATAGTATTTAAATCCAGACAGAAGATTGTTGGTTCCTACACAGAGAAAAAATTAAACATATTTTCTAATAATATTAGCGGTTCATTTATAGATATAAAATTTGCGTAGATGCATTTGCATTTATAGGATACTGTGGATTGTTGTTCCGCATTTCTCAATTTGGAAGAACATCTGAGAACAACTCTGAGTAACTAGGAACTAAAATGTGTGATGTATATAAAACTTACTCTATTACTGTGTTCTCCATAAAGTCATTGAAAATATACAATTGAATTATTAAAAGAACTACTAGAGCATCATAACAAATTAAGGAGACAATGCTAGCAAGTTGAAAATGTAACCAAAATATAATACACATTGATTGCATATTCAATAGGAAAACAATTTTGAGGCTTCTTTGCTAATCTGTGGAAGATTAAAAATTAGCCTAACCAATAAACAGGTTTCTAATAAAGCCATTAATTTGGTCTATGCTATGTTAAAACACATTGTTTTAATGAATGTAGAAATAGCATAGGATTATGCTGTTTTGAATACTGTTGTGTAAATTGATCTCAAAGTATAATGGATATATAAATTTTACCTGTTTTGTTTTCTGTGTAGTGCCACCACATATGGACAATGCAATGGGAACAGAGGAAATCACAATTGTCAAAGGCAGTTCTACCTCTATGACGTGCTTTACAGACGGAACCCCAACTCCAAGTATGTCTTGGCTCAGGGATGGCCAGCCTCTGGTGCTTGATGCTCATCTGACCACCAGCACTCAAGGAATGGTCCTGCAGCTCATCAAGGCAGAAACTGAAGATTCTGGAAAGTACACCTGTGTTGCCTCAAATGATGCTGGAGAAATCAGCAAGCATTTTGTCCTGAAAGTCCTAGGTATATACCTATTCTGACAATTAGAGAACATTTGAGAATTCAGTTATACCCAAGACTTAGATAATGAGTATAACTCTTAGAATCATTCTTTATGGGGCCAACTAATGAAAACTTTTCTGCGTTTCTGTTTCTGTTCTGTACTTCACCTAAATTCCTCTAAAGCATGCTGAAACCGAATGGTGAGTTGTCTTCGTTTGAAAATCTAAAAACTCCTATTCTTAAGAAATTATCCGGGGCTGGAGAGGTGGCTCAGAGGTTAAGAACACTGGCTGTTCTTCCAGAGGTCCTGAGTTCAATTCCCAGCACCCACATGGTGGCTCACAACCATCTGTAATGAGATCTGGCTCCCACTTCTGGCCTGAAGGGACACATGCAGACAGAACATTATATACATAATAAATAAATAAATCTTTTAAAAAAAACCCAAATTTTAAAAAGAAATTATTCACTGGAAAGCATGATACTCCATTAATATCGGGGCTTTCAATGTGTGTGAATTTGTGTTTCTACATGCATGGGTGTCCATGTGTGTGCAGATGTGGAGGTAAGTGTGTCCATGCAGAGACCTGAGTTCATGTTAGATATTGTCCTCAATTGTTCTCCACTCTGTTTTTTTAGGCAAGGTCTTTCTCTGTACCTGAGTCTCACTGGCCATCTTGTTCCACCCAGGGATCCCCCACTCGTGTCTCCTGAGAACTGTGGTCACGGGTGGCCACCATGCCTGCCCTGCTTTCATGTGGGTTCCCGGAGATCCTGACTCTACTCCTCATATTTGCAAACAACAGCTTCACCTACTGGCCCACCTGCCCAGGCCCTACGAGATGACTTTTTAACTTTTTCTAAGAATTTAAAGCACATTTGATAATGGAAATGGGATAAAATAAGATAACATTTATACCATTATCCCAAACAGTCTTAGATTATCTGATTTTAAGATTATAGTCAAAAAAATCACTTTGAATAGCCAAGTTCTAATTACTCTTGTGTACATTAAAAGGTAATATTTTAAGTTTATAGTTCAACATCTTACCAGCAAAAAGCGGCATTAAGGCAAATACAGTTTTTCTGTGTAACAAACATCTTGACAGTGGACAGAAAAAGAGGATAAATAAAATTATCTATTGCAATAGTCAAGTTTTTTTTTAGGTTTTTTCCCCCAACTATGATGTTGGGGAACTGCCATACAGAACAGACTTTCACAGAACAGACATCCCCCTACTGAGAATAGCAAAAAAGAATTTTGGCAGGAGACTTGGTTTAGGAAGGGCTAGCATATGTTTTCAGAGTGTTCTGTAATCTTTCTCAGAGCACCTATTAAAATTCAATTATTTATGTGACTTTGAAAGTTGTCTTTATCCCTAGTTAAGTTTTATGATGGTGAACGCGGCATGCTTCTTACTTATTGCTGGTGCCCAGTGCTTAATATGATGTCTGACACACCAGGAATTCTTAGTGTGTGTTTGTTGGATTGAATGGAAACCAAACTAGATACTTCTAAGCTGTGCTAATGGGAATTTTAACCGGAGAGGGAGGCAGAACAATATGTGAATAAACCTAATGAGGTGCTCTGGTCTATCTGAGTCTTCAAGAGGGAAAGGTGGTGGCGGAAGAAATTTTTCCAGGCTATTTAGAAATGTAAAACAACACGAAATTGTTTGAAGTTGTGCAATTGAGCTGTACAGTTTACAAATCCCTACACATCAGTTTGCCAACATGAGTAACAATGCATGAGAGTATGAGTAGTCTTCACTACTCACATATTAAATATATATATATATATATATATATATATATATATATATGTGTGTGATATGTGCTGGGCATGTTGCTATATGTCAGTTGTGAAGGCCTACTATGTGATCCACTGAATGACAGGCAGTTGATTAAAAAAGATAAAAATCCAGCACTCAAATTCCTATGTCTGGAGTGAGAGGCAGAGAAACTGAAGACCTAATTATTTTTGGTTGTGGTGAGGGTCAGATGATTGACATAACACTCTGTGGGGCAGTAAATTTCAAATTATGCCTTCCCATGGGCCCATCTGAGCCTGGCATGGTGGGACTATAGCAGTGAGGCCGGGTTGAAAATTTCTGCTTTGTTTCACCTATAGGTGATAGAGCTTAATTGTGCATTTGTACTCATGGAAACTGAGTATGAGTGGGTGAAGTGAGGCTGGGTGAGGAGAAGGCATCTGTAAAGAGTCTTGACAACACCCTAGGGAGTTTAGACTCACTAAAAAACAAGGGTAATTTTAAGCAAGAATATGCTACTTAGACAGTCCCTCTGGTGAGAGTAAAGAATAGATCGAAGAAGATGCCATGTTGATGCAGGCCTGAAAACATGAGGACCTAGTCTGCCTGTGACAACAGAGAGAGAATCCAGGAACAGAATCATAGACAGAAACATCGCTGCAGCAAATAAAGGTGGGAACAGCAAGGATGCTTGCCCTCCTGGACAAAGGGTTTACAGGATAACACTTCTGTGAAACGGAAGCATTATGATGAGATGATAAAGATGAGAAGCATCAGCGTCTGCTGAAAACCAATCCCATTCAGCTCTGCAAAGCTCCTCAAGTGGAGCAGTGCCACTTCTCAGCTTGCAAACGTCTCCACTGGGGGGACTGCTGCACTCAACTCTCTGCATGTGGTGGGAGGTGTCAGGATCTATTGGAGGTTTTGAAAAAGAACACTGTGGCTAGAACACTGAAAGCAAGAGAGGACATCAAACACTGTGAGGCTATGAGTTTAGCAGGACCCAGGATATCAAGACCAATTAGGAATTTTTCACAATAGTGCATCTCTCAACCCTCATCAGAGGAGCTTATTTTTGCAGTAGAAAATGATTAATACAGAGACCCACAACTACTAAACATGCAGAAAATAGTAGACCTTGGAGTTATCGGGTCTCAATGAGATAACTCTGTCACATCCATTCCCCAAAGCCTCAAGGATTGTCACAGAGAAGGGTCAGACAGAATGTGAGAGACAGAAGCGGTGGACATCTAAAAAAAAAAAAAAAAAACAGTATTTGATGGACATATCAAGGCCATTGCATACATGAGTTTGCAGAATCTGTAACCATGTGCATGAGACCTGCACAGGATCAAGCCTGGCAAAATCCCAGCACGGATAGGAGAGACTCATGAAGTTCCAGCTCCTAGCTGAGGAGCTATTGGCAACTGAAGGCTGATGGAGAAAAGAAAGTCAGTTTTCCTCAGGGATGCGATGCCTGAGAGGCTACCCATGCAGCAGTAGATTGCATTTAACCAGTGCACTTACAGGCAGACACCAAGTGGACTCAGCGGGTCTGAAAGCAGAACACGAGAAATTGAGAGTTAAGGTGCAGGGGAGGGTGTGGAAGAAATCAGAGTGAGGGAATGGGGGTTTCTCTAATCAAAATGCATCATGTGTCTGTAAAAACTCCGCAAACTTTAGATAAGTTAAATAAAACTCAAATGTCTATGTAAATCCTGAAAGAGAGCTCCAGTTTTATCTTCTAGAAATGAGAAATCATTACAAGTTGTAGCAAGTACAATAACATAAATAAATCTTCCACTTGAAAAGAGCAATCTGGGTGTAAAGAGTCAAGAACAGATTAAGTCAAGAATGGATTCTGAGAACAGTGTGTTATTAGGAACTGTGTGGTGTTGGCTATAAAGAGCAGTGTGGACATGGTGACACATGCCAGACCAGGTTTGTCACTGTCAGGCTTCCTGACTTCATTCTTCCTCCTGTCACAGTATGGTTTTTCAAAACTAAATGTGATTCTAATATTTCCTAGCTTGAGATTTGTCTTGGGTTCGAATAAGATCTGAACTCGTTTTTGTGATGCACAGGCGAACCCAGGGCACTGAACATGTTTAGGCAAGCACTGCCACCGAGTGGCACCCTCAGGTCTGTGAACAGGGGCTTTTCTCACTAAGTGAGATGTCTGGGGGGGTGGCCATTGTTGCACTGGGTGGGCAGTTGAGATGTTTGCCCTTCTCCTGATTGTCACATCATGGTCAATCTGTGACCTTACAATGTCTCCTCACCTCCAGTAGAGCTCAGCACTGAGTAGAGCAGGACAAATAGGAAGATAATCTACAAGGAGCTGTGTCTTCATAGACTTTCTTAGAAGCTCCATGAAAAGCACTTAAACCTCACCGGTCAACAGTGCTACACATATCATTCCATCTAATATCCACCAAATGACTTATAATATTTACCACTTTGCTAACCCTAACAAAATTGGGGCCACTTAAAAAGCAATTAATAGTGAAATCATGCTGGGTAGATAAATGGGACATCTGTTAGAATCATGGGAAAGTTGTTAGAAGATTATAAAAGCTAGGGGTTATGGAGACTTAGAATCATGGGAAAGTTGTTAGATTATAAAGAGCTAGGGGTTATGGAGAACTGGGACAAGATGGTGGCTTCTGGGCCATTTCAAACTGGTGGCAGCTGTGGTTGCCTGCACAAGACCTGCACAAGAGAATGTCAGTCAACATTCTGGCATGGGGAGAAGAAAAATCATACGAACCTCCACCCCTAATGGAGGAGCTATGAACAGTTAGGTGATGACTGCTAGGGAAATGAAAGTTTTCTTTAGAGTTGTGGTCACTGATAGATTTATCATGCCCCAGTGCATGGTCCCACACCTATACTTGCATGGGTAGCACTAATTGGACTCAGTGGGTTATATATAAATAAAAGAATAAGAATGAAGTTAGAAGGAAGATGTGAGGGGGTCCAGGAGGATCTGCAAAAAAGGGGGGATCAATAACAGTCAAAATACACTGTAGACATGTAAGAAACTCTCAAAGAATAAATTTAGGATGTTATATTAAAAACCAAAGTCACAAGAGATGCACACGGCAGTTAAGACATGGTTTTACAATGATAATAGTAATGATAAGAATAATAATAATGAGGAGGAGGGAGAGGGGGAGGTACCTACAAACAGAAAGGAAGATGCACCAGCTACCATAAGCAGTATTGTAGCTCAGATTATAGTGATGGAAATAAGAGAAATTACATTTCTTCTGGAATAATTGCAGATTATGTTAACTTGGTTGTGGGTTTCATATGTGGCATTGATGATGTGACTGTATCAAGGGTGAGTCTCAGTTTCCAGGCTGTGTGACTAAATGATTAGTAGACCCATCACACAAGTGCAAGGAATACTGGGAAAGGAACCAAAACAGCTGTCTGAATGCCAGCTAAATCTGGAGTGTTTATGTAAAATGTAGACATGGGGCTGTTTAGCTGATGATAGTATTTATTGTTTTAGGACTCAAAATTGGGACTTAGACAGGAAATACAAATTCTTGAGTAGTCAGAGTGGAGACAATTCCCACTCTTTCCTGAGTATAAGACACATGGGGCAAATACAAAGTAAAATAGTTGGCCTTCGCCTAACACATGTAACATCTGCAGAGTAGAGTTTGAAGCAGTCGGAACCATGCTGCTGTTGTTGGTGCTGCCCTAACCTGGTGACCACAACCTTTTCAACAGGAAGAGATGGCTAATGAATCTTTCTATCTATATGACTGGCATATAGCAAGTAATAAATAAGAATAAATAATGAAGGATTGATTTTAGTCAACTAGAGAGCCAAATCAGTGCTTTTGCCTCTTACAGGTACCATATTATGGAACGGGAAAAGAGTGAAGAGTTTACAAACCAGGATTTAGTTTTTACAGGGAAGCTTCATGTCACTCACAGAACCTTGATGATAGATACCTCAGCAAGCTCAGGTAGAGGGTGGTGGTGACTGAGAAGCATCAGATGACAGGACCCATTGGCAGAGAGAAGTAACCTAATTTGAAGTTCAGGTCTCACAGAAGTATGTTAAGGTAGAGATAATTTTACAAGCTTTAGAAACTGATTTTCATTTTAATTCAGTTAGCTACATGGAGCCATTGTACCCTTTTAATCAGGAAAACATAGATCAGTGTCACAATGAATGTAAAATACATATTGACAGTCCTGTGTCAGGTGGGTTGAAGTTCAAAAAGAGAACTTCTGGGATCATGATTAAGACATACAGACTCTCTAATTGGAGTCCAAAAGGAATAGATTTGCTGTGTTCTCTTATTCTAGATAGGGAAATGAGGGCTAACAAACATTTAAAAAGGAAATTTCAACAAAATGTAAGATGTTACAAAAGAGAGGGTAGTGCTCGCATCTTTTTAAAGCAATTAATTTAAAATAAAACATGCGTAAGTTAAAAACAAAAACATGGAGGGCCTCACTGAATCTTTATGATGCTCTAAGGTATCTTATGATGCCTGTCCTCCATTTGAAGGTTTGTCCAGTTCCACTGAGCTAACTATTGGTGCTCAGTTCAAATCAGTCTGACATCAGGTCCTATGTTATGTATGAGTCAGAGTCCAACCTGTGTGCCTGATTTAAAACAAAAATAAAGACAAAAACCCCTCAGCTCGCCCTCGGAGCTGTCCAACATCTGTTTTGACTGCCTTCTGAACCCAAAAGCCTAAAGCTCTAACTACGGAAATTTTCACTGAAAACTGGAGTGGTCATTGTAAGAAAAGTCTGTTTTTAAAGGATTAAATTTGGGAGTAGTTAAGCCAAGGACCCTTACTGTGTCTTCCCAGTGTTTAGACTCTTTAGCTTTCTCTGGAAGAAGGTAATTGTAGAAGTATAAATAGTAAAAGAGAAAGCTACTCCTGCCTAGACATAACAAATATGTTCCGTGCAGAAATCACTCTCCCCAGTCCCAGTCTTTTGGAATCTTGCCAGCAAGAAGAACTAAGACCATCTAGGAAGGATCATTTTAGTTTCTATATTCCAACTGATTTATGCCATAGGCATGTAAATTTGAGTTGAATTTTCTTTTGGAGCTTTTAAAATCAGGAATACTTTGTCAAACAACAAGTGTCTTTTTCCGTTGTCTGATCCTACGTCATTAGAACCACCTCACATCAATGGATCTGAAGGACCTGGAGAGGTATCAGCAGTTGTGAATAATCCACTTGAGCTGTCCTGCATAGCTTCTGGAATCCCTGCTCCTAAAGTCTCCTGGATGAAAGATGGCCGGCCTTTTCTACAGACAGATCAAGTGCAGATTCTTGAAGGAGGGGCCATCCTTCGAATATCCAGTGCTCAGGTAAATGTCACCATTCATATAATTATTTTATCCGCTCTACCTTCTTATTCCCTAGTGTGTATGATGACTATTGAATAATTGCGCCTATGCTGCTGAATACATCACTGATCTCCACAGCTTTGCCAAGGGTGGATGGCCTCTATAATATCCATGACTGGGTAAATGAGTAGGAGGAAGAAGAAGACTCTAATATAACCTTTTGAAGACAACAAGATACCTTCTCATTAACTTGAGCATATTTTCAAACCTCCATGTGTTAACCTCTTACCTTTTTCTATGTAGTTCCTTACTAATCAGCAGAAAGCATTCCAACATATAATATGTGAGATCTCAGAAAACACTTTTTTATTTTAAGACATTTTTATTTATTTTACATACCAACTACAGATTCCCCCTCTCATCCCTTATCCTGCTCCCCCCGCCTCCCCCATCCCCTCACCCCCATCCCCTCCTCTGAAGGGTAAGGCCTCCCATGGAGAGTCAGCAAAGCCTGGTACATTAAGTTGGGGCAGGACCAAGCCTGTCCCCTCTACATCAAGGCTCAGCAAAGCATCCCATCATAGGTAATAGGCTCCAAAGAGCCAGCTCAGAGAGCGCTTTTGATCCCCAAATGAACTAGCCAACATGGAAGTCAAAGAAAGAGTGTATTAAGTGGTGATCTTTCAGTAAAATAAAATGGTTCTTCTGGCTTACGTTTAAAGAAACTGATCAGAAATATTGACATGTTAAAAATAAGTCTAGAGTATATTGTAAATATTTTTCATGTTAATAATAAAGGCAAACTTTATATTACAAAGATTGTTCATCTGAGCCCTAATGCCTTCATTTGTAAATTTCAGATAAAGTAACAATGAAAATAATAATGATAGTAACAATAACCATCATCATCATAAATAACATCAATTGCATATTTTGAGGAATCCAAAAGATAATGGGGCATAATATATTTGTGTTGGTGCCATAGAAATACATTACATAACAACAAAAATTAGGTAAAATAATTAGAATTTTTGCTACTATTATAATCATCATTCTGTGTGATGTAAAATAACAAATTATTTACCTGTTTTTTTTTGTTGTTGTTTACTTTGAAAACAAGATGAGGGGAAGAAAACTGGATGAAGAGAGAAATAAAGATGTGTTTTCCACTCTGCTGGTATTATGTTGGGCTTGGGGCCCTGTCATACTCTTCACACTTCTGACCATTTTGGTGGGGGTGCAGAATCTTTATTTCCAGCACATAATCTTGAAAGAGGCACAGCAACTCACCATAGTGAATAATGGAGCCAGTAGACCTTAGCACAGCTTAGCATCAGTGTCATGGAGATATATCTTCTTCTCCTTTCATTCTGAACATAGCAGGAACCCAAAAAGGGCAGATTAAACCTTCAAACCATGATAAACAATCAAAACCCTTCAAGAATTTCCCCCCGCCTCAAGGAAATAAAATTTCATGCAAGATGCCACTAGATGAGAAACAAACAAGCTGCTGGAAACAGCATTGAGATGGGAAATGAAACGTGACCAAGTCTCAGGCTTGCCCCTGCTCCTGCTATTCCTGTTGTCCTGTTGGCATTTTGTACACACCTCTTACAGCATTTCCTACATTATAATTCTGAATTTTGTCTTTTGATGGACTCCTTGGCTGTATATCATTATGCCTAGCACATAATGGCTGCTTTGCAAATTCTGAATTGAGTGGTATAGACGTTAGTTTCCTGAATTACCTTCCTTCAAAAACTAAGTCTGTGGCTTGCTCCAAGGCACGAGATGTCCATCCTATAATCAAACACATTTGTCCAGCTTTGTCACGACACTTTCTTCTCCTGAAGCATAGCACATGTCAACAACTCTCCAGTGTATCTACTTATCATATTTCAAGCCTATTATCAGCAGAGCACACTTCAACCTCTAGCCATGAATGATGACTCTGGGTATACAGAAAGAAACAAGTTGTTGGGAAATAGTTCCTGGTAGAAGTGATGTTTGAGTAGCCCCCAATGATGCTTCAAGTTTGGCAAACTGGAGACAAGTGAAAAGAGTTTTATCCATCTGGAATGAACAAGAGTTGACAGAGAAGAGTTAAAGGTTTTAAAGAGATGATGAGAAAAATGAAATGTGGTTCTCTAGAAAATGATCTCTGTGTGTGTGTGTGTGTGTGTGTGTGTGTGTGTGTGTGTGTGTGTGTGTGTGTGCAATGTGCCTCTCCGTGTGTAACACATGCATGGGAGTGTGTAGAGCATGTGGAAGCCCATGTCAGATGTTTGGTGTGCTTTTCTGTCACTGTCTACGTTATTGGCTTGAGATGTGTCTGTTACTGAGCTGTGAGCTTGCCTTTTCAGCTAGGATAGCTGACCAGAGAACTCTCAGGATCCTCCATAGCTCAGCTCCCCAGTGCCGAGGTAACAGGCACATGCAGCACTTGTGCCTCTTTAAATAGCTGCTGGGATATGAACTCAGGTCCTCATGTTGTCATGGCCGGTGCTCTTCCACATGGCGTTATCTCCCTTAGACCTCCATTTCCTAATTCTTAATCAAAGGCATATGTGAATGTTTATCTAAAGTATTTTTAACCGTTTTTTTTTCCCAAACACTCTAGTCTTAAATTTTTTCCAAAGGAATGTGTGCAACCTAACAAAAACCTTTTTCACAACCTATAAAGTCAGTTTTGAATATAAGAATTTTTAATATGCCAATATTCTGAGAATGTTTAGGTTGTAAAATAAGTGAGATGGCTAGGGCTTTCCTTATATTTATAAAATACGCTTTTGTTAATAGTAAGGTCACCTGTTTGCCAGAATAATATCTCCAGATGTGGTGTCCATGCATACAGATGTAAACCAACTTCCAATATAAAACATTCATGAGGATTTTTTAGTAGTTGGTTCAGGTTTAGGCCAAGTAGATCCTGTTGTCAAACTGTAGTCTACCAGCATGTATCTCAATGACAGAGTCAAGATGTGGTGTTAATTTGTTTGGTTTAGTTATCTTGTGTTGTGTTTTTATTTTATTTTATCAGATGCTTTTATAAATATACTACATTTCCTTCCAGAAGAGAGTAATTGAAATTTATGGTCTGCAAATTGAACCTGTACATATATATTTCCTCAAATTTAATATTGAGCATCTGATCTACCATATTTGGCATAGATGGTTTATAAGTATACATAGACATATGTTTCTATATACTTATATATGCCTTTTTGATATTCTTGTATCAGTTTCCAAAATTCCTTAAACATAGCTGTATGCATAACAGAGATGTCAGCCAACACGCACTATCAAAGCACTAACCACAATGATAACGTTGGTTTTATCTGTTGCACTTCCTTATGTTATTTTGCCTTTATTGGTAATCATACCAGTTCTGGTGAATTTTTATTTCCACCACCAACACTAGCATGTTAACACTCTGTAATGTATTTGTTTGGGTTTTGCAGGTGGAGGATACAGGAAGATATACTTGTCTGGCATCCAGTCCTGCCGGGGATGATGATAAAGAATATTTAGTGAGAGTACACGGTAAATTTTGTGATTTATGTTTAATCCACACACAAACCTACTTAGAAACTATATTAGAGAAGATCCGGCTATTTCACAGCACATCATATGTCTATACATTGAGAAATATGTATTTTATAAATTTCATTGTTCATAACTTATGTGTTCTTTGGGATGCAGTTCAGTGATGTTTTCTGTTATTTGTCTTGATTTTACACAAACAACTCAAATTTGTTTATTTAAAAATAAAAGAATATGAATTACAATAGGGAAGAGCATAAAAATAACCCTTAGTCTTACCACACAAGGATACAGTGTTTTTTATGTGAACATTTTATTGCAAAAATGTGATCAAATCTAGACATAATAGCATCCACCTGTCATCTCAGCGTCTAAGGAAGTTGAGTGGAAAGATTGCTTAAGCCTAGAGTTTGCAGCTGGCTAGGAAACATGGAAAGATTCAAAATATCAAAAAAGAAATAACAGTAGAATACACAAAATTTAATTTGCTTTATGTCTCACTTAATGGTGTGATGAACATTCTTATGTTAATTTTATAGCATCATTTTTAGGATTGCATGTTGCCCTACATCTGACTCCCTGTTGGTGGATATTTAGGCAGTTCCTGCCTTTTTATGTATACTTGGAAGTTTTCTGTAATACACTTACTTGTTTGCCCATGCATGCATGTGCACATATACACTTTTAAGGATTTTGGAAATCACTGCCTTATTACTTTCAAGAAAGTTTGTATTAATGAGATCCTTTTGAATATGACTTTTATGTATAAATTTAAATCATCCTTCATGGGAAGGAGTGTTTGAAAACTAAACAGATACTTAATTTTCAGAGCTTAAATGTATAGGCATGCAGATTATCTGGAATTGAAGTATTCCTGGTATCCCTACTCAAAACTTAGACCTACCTAAGTAAATCCAAAATGTGATTGACTAAGAAATATATCTGTGTAAATCAATAAAAATGGATGCATTACTTTGTTTTGTCATGGACAGTTCCTGATTTGGTCATTTTTAATACTCAGGGGAAAGCATTGCCCAGTGTAGATGTTGACTGGAGGACACCTATGTCGGTCCATTTCCTTATCACTTGTCAGATGGTGGTAATAATGTGCTTATCTCATTGTCCGTGTCATCGTTGGAAAGATTGCATTATTTAATGATTAAATTAATTAATTATTAAAATATTTCATTATTTAATTGATAAAAGTGGTAGATAATAAAGATCCAGTTTGTTAACTCTCTAAACTATAAATTGAATAACTAACAATTGAAGTTCCTGCCTCTTATCGTATAGGAAAGCTAACTGTTGTTGGACACTGATAGATGTTTACATCCAGTTTATCAAATGCACTTGATATTGTGTTCCCACGCTTAGTGCCTCCTAATATTGCTGGAATGGACGAGTCCCAGGACTTCACTGTGTTAAGGAACAGACAGGTGACACTGGAATGCAAATCGGATGCAGTGCCTCCGCCTGTGGTCATGTGGCTCAGAAATGGGGAGCGGTTACAGGTACCTTCTGCTTGACTCCACAGATTCATTTTTATTTTATTTTATTTTATTTTTTTTGGTTTTTTCATTTTTATTTTATAATTGGATTTAATTTTACATATCAGCCACAGATTCCCCTGTCCTCCCTCCTCCTGCCTCCCTCCCCCGCCCCCCCCCCACCCCTCCCCCCTTCTCTTCTCCAGGGCAAGGACTCCCCTGGGGATTCAGCTCAACCTGGTAGATTCAGTCCAGGCAGGTCCAGTCCCCTCCTCCCAGGCTGAGCAAAGTGTCCCTGCATAAGCCCCAGGTTTCAAACAGCCAGCTCATGCACTGAGGACAGGTCCCAGTCCCACTGCCCGGATGCCTCCCAAACAGTTCAATCTGATCAACTCTCTCACTTATCCAAAGGGCCTGCTCCAGTTGGGGGCCCCTCAGCTATTGGTTCATAGTTCATGTGTTTTCACTAGTTTGGCTATTTGTCCCTGTGCTTTTTCCAATCTTGGTCTCAACAATTCTTGCTCATACAATCCCTCCACTTTCTTGCTGATTGGATTCCTGGAGCTCCACCTGGGGCCTGGCTGTGGATCTCTGCATCCAGTTCCCTCAGTCATTGGATGAGAGTTCTAACATGACAGTTAGGGTGTTTGGCCATCTTATCACCAGAGTAGGTCAGTTCGGGCTTACTCTCGACCATTACCAGCCGTTTATTGTGGGGGTATCTTTGTGGATTTCTGGGGACCTCTCTAGCACTTTGCTTCTTCCTATTCCAATGGGATCTTCATTTATCATGGTCTCTAATTTCTTGTTCTCCCTCTCTGTTCTTGATCCAGCTGGGATCTCCTGCTCCCCTAAGCTCTGTTTCCCTAGACCCTTGCTCTTCATTATCCCCCACTCACGTCCAGTTTGCTCATGTAGATCTCATCCATTTCTCTGTCATTGGGCAATCCCTGTGTCTTTTTTGGGGTCCTGTTTTCTAGGTAGCCTCCCTGGAGTTGTGAGTAGCAGTCTATTCATGCTTTCTTTTACATCTAGTACCCTCCAATGAGTGAGTACATACCATGTTTGTCTTTCTGAGTCTGGGTTACCTCACTCAGGAAGATTTTTTTCTAGATCCATCCGTTTGCCTGCAAACCTCATGATGTCATTGTTTTTCTCTGCTGAGTAGTATTCCATTGTGTATATGTACCACATTTTATTTATTATTATTTCCATTATCCATTCTTCAGTTGAAGGGCATCTAGGTTGTTTCCAAGTTCTGGCTATTACAAACAATGCTGCTATGAATATAGCTGAACATGTGCTCTTGTGGTATAATTGAGCATTCCTTGGGTATATGCCCAAAAGTGGTATAGCTGGGTCTTGGGGGAGATTGATTCTCAATTTTCTAAGAAAGCACCATATTGATTTCCAAAGTGGTTGTACAAGCTTGCATTCCCACCAACAGTGGAGGAGAGTTCCCCTTGCTCCACATCCTCTTCAACATAAGCTGTCTTCAATGTTTTTGATCTAAGCCATTCTGGCAGGTGTAAGGTGGTATCTCAGAGTCATTTTGATTTGCATTTCCCTGATGATTAGGGATGTTGAGCAATTCCTTAAATGTCTTTTAGACATTTGAGCTTTCTCTGTTGAGAAATCTCTGTTTAGCTCTATAGCCCATTTCTTAATTGGACTGTTGGGCATTTTTGATGTCTAATTTCTTGAGTTCTTTATAAATTCTGGATATCAGCCTTTGTCAGATGTGGGGTTGGTGAAGATCTTTTCCCATTCTATAGGCTGTCGCTTTGTCATGTTGACTATGTCCTTTGCTCTATAAAATGGCAAAGCAGTTGAGGGGCCTTTGCTAAGTAGTCAAACTCAAATCACTTCCAATTAATAGTTACTCTCAACTGCACAGGCAGGCACAGGGGCCCTCAATCAACTGCCTTCCCATTCTAGTCTTTGCTCAGTAGTTGATTTGGCTGAAAACACAGACATTTTGACTCATGACCCTCTGGAAACTGACACATGGTTGTATCTCCCAAAGCCTGTAGATTAAAGTCCAAATTAAACTCTCAGCTCTTTGTTTAGCTAAAAGGCTAGAAACCATCAAGGGCTCAGGAGAACTGGTCTACCATGTCTGCAGGATGGAGCTGTTGCTGAATTTCCGTGGTTAGAATTCAGGCTCAGGAGTGGCTGACACATCTGTAATATCCCCACCTCCAGCTCTCTGGGACCAGAATCCTAAGGAGCAGTCAAAGATTCTCTACAGCTCCCTACACTTAGGTGATGCCTACCACCAACAGAGCATCAGCTCAGGATTCTCACCAGCCATTTGCAGCCAAAAGAAAGCTGACTTTGAAGGCTTTGTTTATCCTATTCTGGTAGTTACTGGCTTCAAGAAAAAGTCATAAAGAGAACTGAGAAAGGCTTGATTTGAATCATCCAACCTGCCTTGCTTGTTCAATGGAATTGGAGGCACTGTACCCTTGATTTACCCCAAATCTCTGAAACCATGAAAGGGACATTAGTTATTACATGAACAAAACTTGTCAGATGGCAAGTCTGTGCCTCATTCTTGTTCATTTTGCTATTATAAAATATTACTTGTGTTTGGAGAGTGCTTGCTGTTCTCTCAAAAGACCTGAGTTCAGCTCCTAAGACCTATACTGCGTGCCTCACGACCACCTGTATCTCAAGCTCCAGGCCCCCAGGCCCCCACAAACACTGTCACACACCCTCACACACATGCACATAGTGCATATACCCCTTTATATAAACAAATACCCCTCACACACCCTCACACACATGCACATAGTGCATAT